TTTTTTTTTTTTTTTTTTGAAGTTTTCTTTTTTCTTGTTGAAGTTTTCTTTTCGAGAGAGAGAGAGAGAGAGAGAGAGAGAGAGAGGAGAGAGCGCCTGCATGGCCGCGGGCCACACTGACGCCGCGTTTTGTGCCGCCGGGCTGCAAAGCGCGCAGAGCACGTGGACCACGCCATTGCCAAGCAGAAAGCCGCGACCCGCGGCCGGCCAGCCCGCGCCCTGCCCCAGCAAGTTGCCGGTCACCTGCAGAAGTCCGCTCGGCCCTCTGAGTAACATGCGGCCGGGCTGGTCTGTGGGCAGTGCTAGTGCCACGTCTATGTCGTTATTGTCGGGGAGTGCACCCCGCCGGGCCCACCTGACCGCGCGTGCGTGCGCGGGGCCACGGTGCAGCGTCGTTGTCTTCAGAACCGTTTCGTCACTCGGTGCGAGGGAGACCGATGGCCGGCGATGAGGGCGGCTACGGGTGGCGCCGTCACTGCAAGTGCGTGTGTGTGAGTGAGTGAGTGCCGGGCGCGCTGCCGGGCCGTCGTCGAGGTGCGTGCCTCGTGTGGGCAGACAGAGACAGACAGGGAGGGAGAGGGATGCGAAGTGGTGCTGCGGAGATCGGCGACGAAGACGCGATGACGGCGGCCATGGTGACCACGACGGAGAGCTGCTGCTGCTCCTCGGGAGGCCGGCGGGAGGCGGGACACGGCACGGCAGCGTCGCGGTGTGGTGCGGCTGTGAGGCCCCTCCCCGCTCCGTCCCCCCCCCCCCCGCCACGCCCCGCCACGCCACGCCCCGCCCCTCAGCGATGCCCCGCGGGATAATCAATTCCCTAGAGTTTTGGCCGTCTTCCGGCCCACTGTGGGGCCGACTGGTCATGCAGCCGTGACGCCGCATCAGTGCGCGCCACCGGACCACCGGACCCAGGCTGGCGACCGCTCGACCGGCACGCGGCCCAGACTCCAGGATTCCAGGGGTGTTCCGGGAGAGGCGGCTTCGCCGGGCTTTGCTCGCTACGAGTCCCAGAGGGCCAAGGAGCAGTGCAACTCGGCGCCAAATTCTACCGGCCGTCGCACAGTGGGCCAGAAGACCGGTGGAGGCGGCCAAAATCTAGACGCGTTTTGAGCTCCAGAGGCGCTAAGCAGGACTCGAACCGAACGTGTGACCCCACCAATGGATTCGTCGTTCGGAGAGCAATCCATTGGTGGGGTCACACGTTCGGTTCGAGTCCCTGCCCGCCTTGCCCGGCTGTGGGTCACCGCCTTCTGGTCTGCAGGGCCTGCACTGCAGGATGGCGATCAAGGCGGTGGTGAGTCACTGCGATTGCCGTCTCGCCAGTGGCCGCCCTGCCTTTCGTCCAGTGTGCCGGGAAGGCGGCTGCTTATTGCTTAAGCCCCACCCCCTTTCGAACACCGGCTGTCCGGGGCCTTTCGCTTTGAGCAAAATGCAACGAAACTCCATGGGGCATTCCTCCAGTGTCCAAGAAGACGTCCCAGCGAAGAAACGCGGTGCCGGACGACTGCAACCCCTGCGGTGGGGGTGTTTACCCCCTTGCACCCCTGCACGCCCCTGGAGGGGTTGGAAGCCCCCCGACGAGCGGGTTGGTCGAACAAGACATGGGGGAAGCGATCCTCAAGTTTTCAAGACGATCCCACCCACCGTTCGTCTTCCAGAGCGAAAAAAGCGTCATTTCCAGTAAAACCCACCCCTCACTTCACCCCCTTCCAGCGACTGTGAGGCCCCTCCCCGCTCCGTCCCCCACCCCCCGCCACGCCACGCCCTGCCGTGCCCCGCCACGCCCCGCCACGCCCCGCCACGCCACGCCCCGCCCCTCAGCGATGCCCCGCGGGATAATCAATTCCCTAGAGTTTTGGCCGTCTTCCGGCCCACTGTGGGGCCGACTGGTCATGCAGCCGTGACGTGCCGCATCAGTGCGCGCCACCGGACTCACCGGACCACCGGACCCAGGCTGGACCGCTCGACCGGCACGCGGCCCAGACTCCAGGATGCCAGGGGTGTTCCGGGAGAGGCGGCTTCGCCGGGCTTTGCTCGCTTTGCACGAAAATACTTCATTTTGAGCGCCTCTTTCTACCACGCAACAACGGGAAAAAATATTTTTAAAAGCTGAAATTTTGAAGTTGAACTGGAGTTAAAAGCCAGCCTCTTTTGTCCTCGCCGGGAGGGTCCCGGCGAGGGCCTCCGCCTCCGCACGCAGGTAGCCGTGTTGCTGCGGTGGCTGAGGAGGCAAGTGAACCTCGCCAGGCTTCTTCCGACCTGAGACACCTCCCCTCCTCTCTCTCTCTCTCTCTCTCCCTCTTTTTCTCGCACGGGTGGGCGGCCCGTATGGGTGCGATAGAGACAGAGCGACGGGGGCTCCCGTTCGGAATCAGCCTGCAAGCCCGCGGCAACAAGTCGGAGACACGAAGACACGTGCATGCGGCCTGCGGCACCACCTCACAGTGGGCCGGCGGAGGCGGCCAAAATTCCGGGCGCGTTTTGATGAGCTCCAGAGTAGCTACAGGGGCCTCGAACCGAACGGGTGACCCCTCCAATGGATTGCTCTTCGAACGAGGAATCCATTGGTGGAGTCACCCGTTCGGTTCGAGTCCCATTTAGCGACTCTGGAGCTCAAAACGCGTCTAGAGTTTTGGCCGCCTCCACCGGCTTCTGGCCCACTGTCCCTAGCCAGCCTCGGCCAGCCTAGCCAGCCGCCCACGCCGGAGACCATCATCATCATCAACGCTGTTAGAGGCCTTTAGCGGTTCGAGTCAGCAGCACTCCGACGTCGCTCGTCCTCTCCGCAACCTCAGATGTGGTAGGATTTAGTCGTAATGCCCGCTGCCCTACTGGGGAGTATGGGGTCAGTCTGCGCTACACGAGTAGGCACGAGTACATAACACAGACATCACGCATCTCAAGAGTTTGTTCCCACGGCGAGGCGTGTCAATCTGCCGATTTTATGACTCCACGCTGTCGAGGAAGCACCTCTGCCAGGGCGGGGTCAGGTTACACGCGCCCCGGGCGTGGTCGGGGGCGGGACCCAACACAACGCAGAGCTACGCAGCGACCGGGGGGGAAAGGGGGGGGGGGGGGGCGACCCCCGGCCGAATCCTTGGAACTATTAAAATAGTGCGCCCACTTTCTGCCTTCGCGTTCTCACTCTAGTGTGACCGGAATACAGTAATGTGAGTGGCTTTGTGTCCCCTAGTCCGCCTGTGCGCCGCGCACTGAGGGGGCGGGTCCGCGTGGGTGCGGGGGCACCGCGACCAGGCGTCGAGAGACCCTAATTCTCGGAAGGAAAGGCCACAAAAGAAATGGGATCAATTTCCTGAAACTCTTTTCTTTTGACTTAAAAGTTTGATGCGGCATGCCATTTTTTCCGCCACAATTTGAGAAACAGTATTGGAGTTGGGAAAAATTATTGCCTCCCTATAAAGGCGAGGGTGCCGTGGGGTGCCGGCGCCCTCGTCAGAATATCAAAAAATTGTCTGAAACCCTGATCAAAAACTGGGAGCTCGGCAAAATCTTTACTGAGACTGGATTCTTAACTGTGCACAAGGCGGCGCAGCCGAGCGGCAGCCGTTTATGGCGCGAACCGCCGCCATGCTGTTGCCGAGCGGAAGGCAATACGACACGACCCCAAGGCCGGCGAGACGTGCTGGACGACGCAGCGACACAGCATTCTTTTCCCGCCAAATCCGACGGGCCGCTATATATAGCCGTCTAGCGCCGTCCAGGCCGTCAGGCTTGCACAGGCTCGCGTGGCTGCAGCAAGCACGCGACTCTTCACTTCAAATTCCGAGATTGATTCCCGTGGTTGGCTCGTCCGTCTTTTTCTCGCACGCGTGGGCGGCCCGTATGGGTGCGAGAGAGACAGAGCGACGGGGGCTCCCGTTCGGAATCAGCCTGCAAAGCCCGCCCGGCCCGGCCCGGCACTTCAGGGCTTCTAATTAGCAAGAGTCCTGCAGTGGCCGGCACAGAGTCCTGCACTGGCAGGGGCACGGCCCGGGGCACGGCCCGCCGAAACGCCCAGTCTGCAGTCGGCAGCTACAGCGGCGCCGCGGAGGGAACAGCTTCGAGAACACCCTGCGTGTTTCTAAACACTCCGGCCCTCGGCTCTGCCACGCGCCCTGCTCTACCCTGCCCGCCCCGGCCGAGCCACGTCGGCCCAGCTTCCTGCTAAGCTGTAACTGGCGGAGTGCTTTATGTGTAGCTGCGGCCTGCACTGGCACGGCCCGCCGAAACGACACTCGAAGTCTGTCCAAAGGTGGCAGCCAGCCCAGGCCAGCCCGACGTGACTGCACAGGCGCAGGGTCCAACTTAGAGAGCCTGCCAGGGGCGCCGGAAGTGTCCTCAGGGGGGCAAACAATTTTAAATCCTACGTTCCTAATTACCCCCTACCCCACCATTCATGCACCGCGGCCTTTGTCGTATTCCCTTCCGCTTCGCGCCAACGGCTGCCGCTCGACTGCCGCCGCCTATGCACTGTCAAGAAGAATTGCGCTGGGACGGTATAGTTGTGGGCTGCACGGGCTCGACGGGGGCCTCGAGACGAAGAGGCCCTGCACGTGCAGACGCAGAACAAGGGCGGTTGTTTTCGAACGGCGGGCCGGCGCGCTTTTTAATAGCTCTATGAATCGGCCGCCGTGCGGCGCTTAAACTAAGGACTAAAACAAATGGACTAAAAACTAAGGAACTATAAAAAAATTTACAACCTCGAAACCGAGGAGTCGACCCTGGACGACCCCCCCCCCCCCCCCAAACAGACTGCCAATGCGCGAGTTCAACGCCGTGGCAGGTGGTCCCGTTCTGCGGGAGTGTCGTCCGTGCGGCGTGCTGGAGCTCAAAAGCGTGAGCAGGGATTTCGACCGCCGCTTCACTGCGCGTATCGGCCCCGAATGATCTGCCCTGAGGGCCCGGCCGCCGCTTTCAGCACGGCTATAGAGAGGGTATGGCAATCTACGACACCAACCGCACAACTAATTGTCCAAAAATATCGCTTTATTTTCCAAACTTTTTGGTACAAACCAGCATCCTGCTATCAATTCTCATCACTGGATTCGCTGGAGCTTGTGTGCTCCGAGGGCCCCGTAGTGGAGTCCGCCCGGGCCCTCGTGACGACCTTACTCCGCACCACCTGGGCCGGGAACCAAGTGTGTGCGGCGATTGTCCTGGCAGAATCAGGCCTGGGTGCGGCCATTTGCCTCGGCGGTGCGCCCATGGCAGCCCCGCTGTGGTTGAGGTTGTCTCGGCGCAGCCCCGCGTGGGAGTGCGACGGCCCCGCCTGTTGGGATGACCCAGCCTGGTCGTGAGGTCGCTCCACGGCGCGCGCTGAATTACAGAATTAGAGCGTTCAAGTTCTCGCCGATTATCCAATCAATTATCTCAGACTATCGGATGAAGAAAACTACCTACCAGCCATGCAGTTTTGGTAACACTGCACGGCGTCACGAAGCCAGTCGTGGGTTGTCCAGCACAGCCTGCAAACTACCGGGTAGATTGCCATTCCCTCTGAAATAAAAGAGTTGGTTCAACACAACTTTCCTTGGCACGACCACGGCGGTGGGTAGTTCTTTCTCAAATCGCACGACCCCCGAAATCGATGTCTCGGATTCGGACCAAACTTGGTGGACTCATTGCTTGGGTCACCAAAACCAAGTTTCTGACCCCGAAAAATTTTTTTTTGCTCTAAAAATATTTTTCTCCCCTAAAAGTGTTAAAAAATATACCCAAAAAATCGAATTTTCGTCCAATTGACCCTTCATTGTGCAAAGTTGTTTTTTCAACGTCTTTTGATCTTATTTTATCCTATTTTCACCTATCCCACTCAGAAATGATTTTTAACACCACTAAAAACCATGAAAACCGACAAAATTTTAACGTTTTCTTGAATACCCAAAAAATGAATCCGAATTTTTTCATGAAAATTTGTTTTTAAATTCATCTTTTGGTCCTCTAACATGTGTCAAAAAATTGGGAGAGTTAAATTTAAATTGCCTTTAAAATAATTTTTTTCCACTTTTTTCAGTGAAAATTTTCACTGAAATGACTCAATTTATCAAGTTTTCAGCAAGACTATTGAAGTCTCATGGCTTCTGGGTCCTCCTGGATGGGTAGGGATGTTGGAAATGTATTACTGAGTAGATAGTAGCTTCAAGATGTTTATTTTTAATTATTTTGGATGGTTGACAGGCAATACCGGTAAGTTGCCCTAGACTCCGACGAAGTCCCGGCCTGTAGGCCCCGATCCGACCCCGACCCGGTCCCGACTTGGCCCCGACCCGGCCCAGACCCGGCCGAGACCCGGCCCAGACCCGGTCGAGACCCGGCCGAGACCAGGCCGAGACCCGGCCCAGACCCGGCCCAGACCCGGCCCAGACCCGGCCCAGACCCGGCCGAGACCCGTCAAAGACCCGGCCGAAAGGCCGGGTCGGCCGACACCCGGTCGCCCTATAGGAATCCGAATCCGGCAAAGCCTTGGCTAAGCCCCGGCAGAGTCCGACCGAGTCCGGCCAAGTCCGGCCACGGTGTAAGAGTGCACCACCCGAAGAGCGGTCTCCCTACACCGTGAGTCCGGAGTGGGGCGGGTTCCGCCGGGCACAGTGTAGGGAGACCGCTCTTCGGGTGGTGCACTCTTACACCGTGGCCGGACTTGGCCGGACTCGGTCGGACTCTGCCGGGGCTTATCCAAGGATTTGCCGGATTCCTATAGGGCGACCGGGTGTCGGCCGGCCCGGCCTTTCGGCCGGGTCTTTGACGGGTCTCGGCCGGGTCTTTGCCGGGTCTGGGCCGGCCCCAGATAAAATTTTTCCGGGCAACTACTAGCAGAGGTGAGCAGGGGTTGGGCACAGCCAGAGCCCTGCCCGGCACCGGGCGGGCAACTCCCGGGCAACTACCGGGCAACACCCGGGCAACACCCGGGCAACTTCAGGCAACGCCCGGGCAACACCCGGGCAACACCCGGGCAACTTTGGGCAACTATGGCGGGCAACTTGGGGCAATTGTCCGGCAGGTTGAGGCATAACCCAGGCAAAGCCCCCTGCGCGCAAAAGTGCGCACCGAGTGACCACAGCGCAGCGCCGCACCTGAGGGGCGCTGCGCCGCGTTGCAGTGACTATGCGATTTGAATCTGACCCACGGTGTAGGGCCCACATGGGGAGCAGCGCATCCTGGCGGAGCGTTTGGAACTACGGAACGTCCAGAAACGGGCTTCACTCGGCTGCGTGGCGGAAGGCCCAAGTGTCCCCACCGTCTCTCCCTCCACAGTGATCTGACCGCACCCTCGTCGCTCTGCCTCTCTTGCACACTTCTGGGCACCCAATGGATGCGGGAGTGCGACAGAGAGAGAGAGAGGGGGGGGGGGTTGCCTCGGAATCTGAGCCTTCATGAGCGTAGTGTTTTGGGCCGACTTTGAGCAGCCACTGCGTCTGATCCAAGGCGGGCCTTCGTACTTTTCCAACGGGCAATTGGTCTTTGGATCTTCCTTTAGCATGCCTTTCTTACGGAGTCCATTTATCCGCCTTAGTTTGTTAGTCAAATCGGTTATTTGACTAACACCGGCACTAACACTGCTCAGACTTGCGGCGGTCTACAAGGCGGGCAACGCTCTCATATTGCGGAGATATTTGCCAACGACATAGGGTACTTACCACAATTTATGTGAGACCGGATGTGCAGTCGACCCTCATTGTACGAATGCAGCCATCGGCCGCAAGTCTCGCAAAGCAAACAGAGTCCGTCGGACATAATAGGGCAGCTCAGGTGAAACTAGAAAAAAAAAACACACTAGTAAATCGACCCTTTTCATCGAAGTTTCGTTCCAAAGATTGAGGTTTTTTTTTTACAAACCACAGAAATTAATAAACCTACCTTGGTTGATTCCGATTCGATTTACCTTATGCACACAAGAAATCGGTTCGCCGGCGCGATTGTCACATGCGCGGCGCGGTTTCAGCGGTGAACAGCGGCGTGTGCGTGTGCGCGCGGTGGAGAGTCGGAGGCCACTTGCCCTGGTCCTGGGGCTGCTCACCCGCCCGGGCGGCAGGCGGCCAGAACGAGGAAAATTCGGCCGGGCGGTAAACACTAAAAAACCAGTCAAAGAAAGCAACGCGCAGCACACGCACAAGCACACCAGACAAGTGACGTGCTTACCGAACGTGCTTTGCTCATTCATCATTCCGGGTTTTTGAGTGCAAACTCAACATTTTCCGCGTGAAAGGTGGTGGTAGCGATGGTCGGTCTACCTGCCATCCCCAAAGAAGGCGGGCCAATTTTGATGTTTGCTGGACTTTATTATTTTAATGGTAACGTCTTATTCTTCATCTTTGCGAAAAAATAAGAAAAATGATACCAATCACAAGGTTCTGCGATTATTTTGAAGAAGCGTAAAAACAGAGCACATATGCGTGTTAAAGTTCAAACGGAGCGTCGTAGAAACATGATTCAAACATGTTCGTTTTCGCTATTTTGAATGGATTCCTTGATCGCAGAGGAATCCATTGGTGGTGTACTCGTTCGATTCGAGTCCCATTGCGAAGCTCAAAGGAGTTTCAGAACTTGATTGCAGCCCCTGGTTGCGGATCTTCGTTTCCGGATTCCAGGCCGCTTGTCCGCGCGGCATACTTTGTCGGGACGATCAGCTCCCCGCCTGCCACGCCCTACCACGCCCCGCACGCATGCCGCCACGCCCCGCCACGCCCCGCCACGCCCCGCCCCGCCCTGCCCCGCCCCGTCACGAGGGCGCAGATACACAAGAAAATGTGGTCCTCTAATTCCGTATCAAATTGGGTTAAAACTCAAAAATATCACAAAATCCAAAAATAAAATATGGCTTTAACCGCGTGGACATGAGGAAGCAGAATATGGCGCTTAAAGTGTTGAAAAATTGAAAGCGACAAAAGTTAAAATTGGAGACAATAGGAGTGCTTCGCGGCAGGCAGGCCGACCCTCGCACCAACACACATTCACACACACACACACGCACACTGGCTTACTCTCGGGGAAGAGAGAAAACAGACGACAATGTCGTTTTACAATGAGGGGTCTCTGGGATGAATAGTCTTTGTTCACAAGTGGCTCACCCTAGTGATCTAATATTTTGCTTGACATAACAAATCTGAAAATTTCAAATTCGTCTTCCATTCCTTTCACTGGTTCAGAAACATGTTCGAACGAATTTCTAAGCCAATTTTGAGGGCAGCCGAGGTCCCAATATCCTGACGGCGTGGCGGCCGAGGGAGGCTTCTCGGCCCAAGGATGCAGGTCGCCACCCCGGCCGCCTCCTCTCCCCTCCCCCTCCCCCCTCTCATTCCTTCCCTCGGCAGGGCTCCTTGACCTTGCCTAATTGCGGGAACGTCTGCAAACAGTGTGTCACTTCTCTGGAGACTGGGCCTTTTCCCTGGCCGTTCTTTAGCGAAAACCTTCTCGAAACTTCTGGAACGGCTTTTGGACGGCCCCCCCTGGCCGCCCGGGCATGACGTAGAGTGCTCACAGCACGCCTAGCAACGCGACGGAAACGCGGGGATACATTCGCGCCAAGCCAAGGGATGAACAAAAGGATTCTTCCTCATAGGCTTGGACTGCACACCCCCGCCTGCGTCTTTGGCCGGGCAGGTCCGGACCCGTGCCAGTCTCCCTGCAGCCCTTGCTCAGTGAAAACGTATCCGTGCGCCGCCGTGCTGTGCGTCTCCGCGTGCGTCTCCGCGTGTTTTGTGATTTGTTTTGACTCGCCCACGGATCTGGCGCCCTAAACGGCCCGTTTACCTGTTTCGCTGTCTCACCTGTACCGGCCCCTGCCCCCCTTTGCCGTGCAAGCGGCGGGGTGCCTTTACCTGCAGCACCCGGAGCACCTTTTGTGCGGCGCAGTGGCACGCGCGCCCACCCTCCTCTCCGTGGACAGCCGATCGGCTCCCGCCCGAAGAACTCAACTGTTTATTTTTTGTCAGGTAAGTACGTGTTTTGTGTGGTCGTTGTGCCCCAAGGTGTGCCCCGTAATTTTGTCCTGGGCCGCCAGCCTCGCGGCCGTTATGCGCCACCCGCCGGCCCACCGGGGCTTTGCCATCAGTGTCCGTACTTTTGGCGAAACCGACTGACTGGTGCGGCTGTCCGGCCGGGCTTGGCTGACCTTGTGGCTGACGTGGCACTGCAGCCAGTCGGCCACTGGCTGACTGGCTGCAGCTCAGCCTGGGCGCCTGGGCTACGTGCAGTCGGAGGCGCCTGACGCCTTGCCTCGAATAATCGGCGTGTGTGTGCATGGGTAAAGGGGGCCGGGGGAGGGGGGCAGCGAAGACGCCGGCGGTAACGACAGTGTCGTAGCGACAGTACTGATTCCAGCGGATTCCGAGTGGGTCTCGCTCTCTCTCTCTCTCTCTCGCTCTCTTGGGGCGCGCCGCAATGGTGCGAGTGAGATAGAACAGAGGTGTGCAAATCCATCCGTCGAGCATCCGCTCCATCCGCAGCGACGTTGTTTCGTCTAGCGAACGCAGTCCGGGCGACACAGGTGAGGCAGCTACGCCGGCTACGCCACGCCACGCCGCCGCTGGCCGGGCGAGCGAGACGGAGCGAGCGGCGCCACTGGGAGAGCGAGAGAGACGAATGGCCGGCCAGCAGCCGTCTGATTCCGAGCTCTGCTTTCGTCGCTCTGTCTCTCTCGCACTCATGGGGCGGTTCGTAGGGGCTCGGCGCGAGTCGAGCCGGTCCGGTACGCGCCGTGGCACAGTGGGCCGGAGGCGGTCAAAGTCCCGGACGCGTTGTGAGCTCTAGAGTACTAGAGTCGCCAAATGGAACTCGAACCGAACGTGTGACCCCACTATTGGATTGCTCTCCGAACGAGGGATCCATTGGTGGGGTCACACGTTCGGTTCCAGTCCCATTTAGCCAATCTGGAGCTCAAAAAAACCTCTAGAGTTCTGGCTGCTGCGCCGGTCTTCTGGGCCACTGTGCGTGGCCCTGCCGCGCCTAGGTTGCCGCTGCGCCTTGGTTCACCGACCGGCGTGGAACCCCCGCCACGCCTCGCCACACGTGGGCCAGAAGCCAACGGCGGAGGCGGTCAAAACTCTGGACGCGTTTTGAGCTCCAGAGGCGCTACATGGGACTCAAATTGATTGCGCCGGCGGCGCGGAGGGGGTAGTCGGGGAGTCGGGGAGGGCCATGCGGTTTCCGTTTCGGCGCGGTGCTCGGCCGCGTCCTGGCTGCAGGTGCTAGCAGGGTTGCCACTCGTCCTCGTAGGGTGGCCACATGGCCGCTTGGTCTGTTGAGGCAAAGGCTGTCGGCCATCACATCGAGCCGGACTTGCACCGATTACACATGCAGGTACACGCTACAGCGTGACGTCGACGTACTGAGCAAGCATGCCAAGTGAACTTGGCAAGCACGCTTCAGCGTGGAGTTTACATGCCAGGTTGGTGGAGTGTACGCGTGCTATGCATGCACGCGTTTGAGTTTGTAGAGCAGGAGGGGGAGCCACCACGCCGCGGTGATACCTGACATTTTTCCTGTGTCTGCATCTTACCCGAATCGAACAATGAGCCACCACTGGCCAGATAGCGGCGGCCGGCGACTTGGACTCACCTCACCGTCGGGCCCCCCTGGGCCGCCTCTGGCAGCCTCAGATCGGCTAAGCCTGCCTTTGTCTCTATAGCGCCATATTGATTCAATCAAAGGCCGCTCCTGCCGCCGCCAGTTCGCCAGCGGACTGATTTCAAGAGTCGAGGAGTCGTTTTTGTCGCTCTGTCTCTCTCGCACTCATGCAGCGTCCATTTAGGCGCAAGAGAGACAGAGCAGCCTCCACTCACGCCGCGCCGGGAACAGTGACTTGTCGTTGACAGTGTATAGGCCCCGGCCGCCATGATGGCGGGGCCGGCAGCGCGCGAGAGAGGGAGTGTCGCCGCTACGTTGCTACACCCTGCCCCACCAACGCGTCTGAAGAATGGAGGGGGCACGGTGGCCGAATCACAGCCAGCCCCTAGCCCCGGCCAGTCGCGCAGTCTCAGTCAGTCGTCAGTCGCTCGTCGCCCACGCCACTTCACAGGCTGCAGGTCGCAGGACACAGTGTCGAAGTCCCTTAGTCCCGTGGCGGCGAGGTGCGCGCGAAGCAGCTGTTTTCGCTGAAGAGTGTCGAGGGTCGGCTGCGTCGTCGAATCTTTCTGAGAGGTAAGTGTGTTTAATTTTTATGGATTTTGTTAAGTGCACTAGTTTACATTGGCAGAGCGGGGGGTAGCGCGTAGTGGGGTAGTGGGCTCATGCGTTTTGGTGAGCAGGGTGGTGGAAAGGCAAGTGAGCGGTGAGTGGGCTCGCCAGTGTGATAGATTTGGCCTCTGCCAGGGCACATCCGGCACTCCCACGGCCGCGACGCGCACGCCCAGCGCCCAGCGCGGCGTGAAGCAGTTGCTTTTCGTCGAATTACCTCCACTTTTCCGTTTGGCCCGCCGCGGCCCACTCCTGCAGGCTGCAGGTCGCTGCAGGCCTGGCCGGCGCGAATGGCGTGGGCAGAGTCCCTCTCTTCCTCCTCCTTCTTCCCTTCACTAATTTCCCGGAATGCATTCCGCGTGCGTCGCGTGCGCGGGGAGGCGCACGCACGGCAGGTTGTGGCCGTCACGGGTCGCGGCAAGGGTCACGTGACGTGACGTCACGCTCGTCACGCTCGTCACGCGGCACGAGCACTGTGACTTCATTCGGCGAGCGGTGGCGGCCGGGTGGCCGCTTATGCCCGCTAGGGGCATATTCCGTTGTCGAAATCGAAAAGTCGCAAATGTCGACGGCCCCTAATGCCCGCGGCGGCCTGCGCGGCCAGCGGGGCCTGCGGTCAGCGATGAGGCCTGGAAGGGCTGCCGCCAAAACGACCATTTACTCTGCGAAACGGGATGAAATAAACACACGAGCGGCCTTTGCTGCGACGCGTTCGAGGTCGTTCGGGAATTTGTGGCCTCGGTTCGTGACCACGGTAACCTGACACCGCGGTGCCATGCCCGGCCGTGCCGTGGCGGTGGTGCACCGGACCGCCAGGCCGTGCCACCGGGCCGGTGCAGTGGTGCACTTTGTCTACGGCAGTGTCCTTGCAATTATGCGCTGAAACCGGCAACGCCCACGCCCGCCTGCCTGCCAGCCCCTCCAGCCCCGCCAGCCCCTCCAGCCCCTCCAGCCCCTCCAGTCCCTCCAGCCCCGCCAGCCACGCCGCCAGGCAGGCCCTATTGTCGCCCCGCACGCACCCACAACTCTTTGGCGGCGGCGGCCTCAAGGGCGCCCTGCTCGCCCTGCTCCGCTACATGCACCGTGTCACTGCGGTGTCACTGCGATGCCCCGAGGCCCCGCCCCCTCCAGTGTCAACACGCGGAGAAAGCGAGCGCGAAGCCCGGCGGAGCCCTTTTCCCATTGGCGGGAGCCGCGACGTTTATTTCTGCAACGTTTGGTTTCGCCAATGCCAGTTTAGGTGATTTTGATGGTAAAAAAAATAGTCGTGTCTTGGACCAAGAGGATACTATGGCAAGATGTGATTTACTTGCATTGCAAGTAAATTTTCTTGGTTGAAGAAACGACTTTTGTGAGAGGATTCGTGAGCGTTCGTATTTCCCTTCTCAAAAGCCTGCCTGCGGATTTCTTTTCTTGCCTCCACGAAGACCACATCACTGTAAAGCA